AAAATAGCTATAGCTCTAGAAAATGTTGTTAAATGTATGTACTCGATTACATATCCATTATATTTGTACTTAGCCTGTTCATTTTATGTATGTTTGAATGAGTCAGGAAAACAAGCTTAAGTTTTTAAATTTTATAAATTCTAATAGAAAACATTGTATCATTAAGAAGTTTAAATTTAAAATTGTTTTATGTGCAATTCAAATATTTGTATACAACTTCACATTTTTGTTAGTCTTTATGATTTTATCTAAAAAAAAAGTGAATTTTTGTTTTTTGTTCATTTTAACCATTAAAATTATAGTAATGAACCAACTGGGTTCTCTTTATAGGTCTATATAGTTTACAGCATTAGTTCAGAGAATCAAATCAATTTGTAAAACCTGTCAATGCTCCTTTAACTAAAATAATATTTGGAGAGCCTATTTTTGTGTTTGATTCTGGTGTCCTCATTCATATTCCTTCTCCCTTACAGTGGGATACAGCAGGCCAGGAAAGGTTTCGCACAATCACATCCAGCTACTACAGAGGAGCACATGGCATTATTGTAGTCTATGATGTTACAGATCAGGTGAGCTTTTTCAAACCTTATTAAGCAAGTGTCCTAATTTTACTTAAAACACATTTGTAAATGCCTTTTAAACTAAACAGTTTTTAATTCTGCTCCACTGTATTTGTTTTAATGTTGTTTTTTTTTTTTTTTCCATTGCTCTCAGGAGTCCTTCAATAATGTTAAGCAGTGGCTACAGGAGATTGACCGCTATGCCAGTGAAAATGTTAACAAGTTATTGGTTGGCAACAAGTGTGACTTAACAACAAAAAAAGTGGTAGACTACACAACGGCAAAGGTAATATTGTTTATCTCCATATTACTCCATTTATTCCAATATTATTATGTCTCTGTTCCAATCCTAGTGAGCTACCTGGCTGTCTACCCCCTACATAGCTGCCTTCTAACTGAAACGAGAACTCATAACTGACTAATTTGGAATGGTATGGAAACTGAAGCTTCGCTTGGGAGCCGCCATTGTGGCTGACTATCACCTGCTGTTAGCATTCCATTGACTCCCATTCATTTTGGCATTCACTTTGGCAACTTTACATCTGAGGTGTCCAAAGACTCCATTTTTTCCACTTTTTGACTCTTGTCGGACAGTTGAGAAATTACCGTATAGACAGGAGGAGAAGCTCGTAGGCAATCTTTTAGTGTCTATGAGGCAATCAGGTGGACTTGGAGGCATAAAGTCAAGGGAGAAGCCTATGGATAGAGAGTTAATGAACGGGACAAAATAGTTCAACAACAGATTTGTTTTTAAGATTTCAATTCAGATTTGTCTCGGTACAGCTGCTAGACGGTCAGAACGGTTGCTAGTGTCACATCTACGTCATCAAGCTCAGTTTGAGCTTGTGCAGTGTGCTTGGCTATCAGGAAGTGAGTGCTTCTAATGGGCTTCAACTTTCTCCTTTGAAATCTATGGGGTCACTGTGTCCATTTCTTTTACTGTCTATGGTCTATACCTGGGCAACAACACAGTGCATGGGAGACTCCCGATTTCAATACACTTAAGTCTTATTGTCTTGCTACGCTAACAACGTGATATTGTAATACATAAAAATACATGGGGAATACATTTATTACTATTCTCCTTATTCCCTCTATAGATTTTAAATAATACAAATGATTTTTTTTTTTCATTCATTTTTTTTTTAAATTTACTTCTCTATACGCATATGCTGTACTTTGTAGTAGCTTTTACTTATTTACAGCAAAATTCCTCAACTACAACACGAACTGCATATGAAATATTAAATTTTTATGGAGAAAAAACAAAAAACAAACTAACAATTAGGGGTTTTTTTCAACTGCTTAGACACATTTTTCAAAACTATGCCTCCTTTTTTTCAGAACTTCACACACAAATCCAAGAATTGCTCATAGAAAAAATGTGAAATGCCTTGCATCTCTTGCAAAATCAAACACATCTGAAAACAAAAGAAAACATTTGTCTTAAGTTGCAAACACCTTTGCCACAATTTTATATTTTTTGGATCATATACAGTTATTCAAAACTTAAAGCTCTCCTTTCATGAGCTTCTATATACATTTCTGTACAAGATTTAAAGTAATTGGTGGAGAGATGTTGAAAAATTCATGGTAAACACAAAAGCAAGATTGAAACCATTTTTAATTATTTTTTTTTACTGTAAGCATTTGTGGTTGTGAATACAGTATTACACAGTCCGAAAAACCTATAACTTGACTTTTAGTCTATTTATAGGCCAGTTCTAAAACCACGATTGGTTGGTGTTAAGTAAAGCAATGAGTGTTTGCACATGTGAAGAGTTAGTGTGAGGCACTGATGAATTAGTGTGGTTGTGTTTGAAAAAGGAAATCAAGATACTTCCTGTTAGATTTGTGTGTGTTGCATAGAAGATTGTGTTGTGGTTTGCAAAAAGTGTATTATGAAATTGAAAACTGAGCCCAAGGCCATGAATTGGTGTATGATTTTGCAGATTTGGTGTGTGGTTCTGGTGTTTTAGTGTCAGGTTTCATAAATAGTGGGACAAGTAAGGATTTTGTGTGTAAGCAGTTAAAAAAAACAACTGTAAATAGGACTTGTTTCTGGATATTGATCTAAAGTCTTAGGTGTAGAATTCTGCCATCTGCTGGTTAGAGAAAAGATCTGTAGGAATTACAGCTTTAGAAAAAAAATAATTATCATATGCAACCCGAATTTTGAGGTTTTCGCTAATATTATTTCATTAAGACTCGTCTAGGAATCCCAAAGCTCAAATAGTAATAATTAAACATCTCTTATTTTTATTTGTACATGGAATACCTTCCTAAATCATGACAAAATGCAGTTTTTCTTTGCTTGCTTCTCGACAGTGCTTCCCCTCAGTACAAGTACCATAGTAGGCTAATGATGCATTACAATGATGGTCGGGAGTGTGCCTTAAATGTCTACCTACATGGGCAGCTCACTAGGTTTTGGAAGAGAAGACTTACAGTTGTTAATTTTTTCAATGTTCTAACAGAAATAATTGCTTGGTTTATCTCTAGGAATTTGCTGATTCCCTTAGCATTCCTTTCTTGGAAACTAGCGCTAAGAATGCTACCAATGTGGAGCAGGCCTTCATGACCATGGCTGCTGAGATCAAGAAGAGAATGGGCCCCGGAGCCACAGCTGGAGGTTCTGAGAAGTCGAACGTGAAGATCCAGAGCACTCCGGTGAAGCCTGCATCTGGAGGCTGCTGCTGAGATCCCCTCAACCTCGACCACCTCCCTTCCCTCACCTCGGCCCATGGATCTTGGAGCAAGAGCCCCCACAATTGGAGAAAGAAAGGGGACTAGATCATTTGTTATGGAGCAAAGAGTGAATATAGAAAGAATAAAAGAGAGTGTGAAACAGGCAACAATTAAAGTTCCCCAAGTTGCACTGTATGTAGCCGCACTACCAAAACCATTCAAAAATCTGCTGCCCCCTCCCCTCCCTGGCTTTTCACAAACTATAACTGATGAGATTTGGTAACGGTCAGTCCCATTCACCCCTGCCATCTCACAGGGGCTGCTTTTAACAAACCCTACATCACAAAAAGGATGGATTTCATTTTCACTCAATGATTTTTAAATCCTCTGTGTTGCAGGTTTCTAAGAATAATGTGTGTATTTATCTCACTGCATTCCTACTGCAGGGCTGGTCTGTGGTCAAAATTCAATGACGTTTTGTTTTTCTGTCCTTTTCTTACTTTATTATTACTTGTTGATTATTTTACTGTCGATATTTGCATGTGTAGGTTTCTGTCCCCACAGATTGTTTTGTCAGTCTGTTGTTGCGATCAACTGGACAGCGGTGGTTCCCAGCCCAACATCTGTTTAGTCAATTATATGTACATATACATTATGTGTATGTATGTATATTTCTAAATATATATATATATATATATATATAAATCTGAGTTGACAACTCTGTAGAGTTAAATACATTATTCGTGTAGTTTTATCTTTTTCATTAAGTTGTGGCTGCAGACTTGTAGTTTTGTTGCGCAATGTGTAACAGTTATCAAAAATATAAATAAATATTGTACGACCACACTGTACAATATCAATATGTCTGCAATTCTTGGTGGGACATGTAGAAACCCTTTGTGTTTTATTTATTCAACATTTATATGCAAATATATTGTTCCAATAATCTACAATCTCTAAATATTGGCCATTTACCTGCGGAATACATTGAAAGCATCAAATTCACATTTTGCATATGTGACAAACACTATGTTCTCTTTTTCATAATAAAGACAAATTAATTCATTTTTTGAATGAACTTGGAAACTGTTTGTCTAGTTTATATTTTTGTTGTTGTTTTGGATGTATATTTTACATCCCCATATATGAATTTAAAGCTTGTTGTGGTACACAGACCTTACAACACACGAGAGGAATTCATTCATATTTTAGTATTTATATGCCATCATGGTATTTATTAATAATTAGATTTTTTTTTTCTTCATATTTTCAGTTTTCATTGCATTTTTTGTCAATGTTTTAATTCCATTTTACAGAGTTTTTCAGCGGTATATATGTATATATATATGTATATATATATATATATATTAATTAGTTGAGGACTCCTTTTAATATAGTATCCTTTCGCAGACTAAAATGCATGTTTGAGCTGTTTTAAAGCAACTTGCACTGACATACTGCATCTTAAAATATGTCAGTGCGATTATTTTTTCTCAAGATGCACACTAGTAATGGTATTTTTCTAATGCATGTTTATAAAAGCTACTTGGATGTCCTAATTGAACTGAGGGCTAATCATGGTTTAATTTAAGCCCTGTCTGTGAAACCAGTCCTATAAGAATCTGTATGCCTGAATGGGAACACTTCAGTACATTACTTGTAAGTAATTGAGTATTTTTGCATTTAATCAAGTATCCTCATCGAAACCCACAGAAACATGTATATTTAAATGTACAAAATCAAGAAAACTACGAAAAAGGAAATTAGTTTATTGTTAAATAGTTTTTATACATAAAGGCAAAACAGTTACACATCAGTCTGTGATCTCTACAGTAGAAGTTCTCCAAAACTTTCTGCCTCAAGGTTTTGTTGTTTGCCGTCACATTCTTTCAGCTGAGTCCATTCCACGTGAATTATGCACCATCATTTGTTTATTGAATTTTGTTCCTTTGACATCTCCAAATGTGAACACAAAAAAAAGATATTTGTACAATTTTGGTAACAACACAACATTGAACCCCTTAGACTTATATTGTGTAGACAAAATCAACAAAAACACTGAGACGCATTTACATTCAACAAAAGAAAGTAATACAGTTTTAGAAAGACACAATTTTCATTTTTGGGGGAACAGTCAAGTATGAATGCTCATCCAACAGATTATTCATATATTCATCATTATACCATTACTGACACTAATAGTCGGTCAAAAAATACAATAAATTTTCGAGGCACAGGTTACTCAGAAGGGAAACTAAAGCTGCAGAGATGTAAATGAAGGCTGGGCTGTCCTCCATTAAAACTTAAGGTAATAATAATCTGAGATCACAATCATGATTGGCACATATGTGCACCTCTTCTGCGGAGTTGTGTTACTTTAACAATATTACTAAATTAGGCCATCTAAGGACATTTTCTGACATACATGTTAAATTGCAGTAGTCAACATTTGAAGTGGATCAAAAAGTATGACACAACTCAAGCGAGACAGCACATAACACCAGTTCTGGATACAGTAAACTTGTAAAACAAAGATAATGGCGACATGAGTCAAGTTGAAAACACTCAAAAAAGACGCCTCAGTGAAGACAGTGTGCGGACCAGATATTTGCCTTCCCAGATTCCTAATAATTCTCAGGCAATTGCTTCTGGGGAGAAAGAGAGAGAAAAGTGATGCTGCACTTTTAATAAAAGTAATTTCTAAACATTCATTTCTAAACATTTTGATGATAGTTAATTATCAATTATTTTAAAAAAATTACCATGATGAATAAAACAGAATCACAAAGCTCATTTTCTGCAATAATCCAAAATCTAGGAATCCAGTACAGAAAAACTATTCAACTTTTATGTCGGCCAACAAAAAAAAAAAAAATGTCATCGCTGCAGATCATCCAGTCACCCATTTAGAATAATTTAACCATGTGATGACACTAGAGGGCACTAGTAGATCATTACCTGGTGCTTCCTCAGATCTGGGGTCAGTAAGGCTGTCCATGGCTGACAGAATAGAGGAGAAAAGATACTCTGAATGAGTTTCCAGTGTGTGAGACTGCCTCTCTATTAGCACCAGTGTGTCTTTCAGAACTGTAGGATCAGAAAAATATATATATGAGCAGCAGTATGAGAACATCTGAATACTAGTGACGTGTTGACGAAAGTAATGGTGTTAGTTCTTGATGTGAACGCAGAAATGGAGAATGCTAGGTAACAGCACGGCTCTCTAATTCATGCATGCATGGCTGCATTCTCCAAGCAGAGCGTTTCCTGTTTCTGTCCGATGTGACTGAGTATTGGGTTACACTGCACAACATGTCCAAAACTGAGAAGCTGTACACAATTGTGGAAAGAAACAAAGATAAAAAGCTCTAATGCTTCTTCTAATTTAAAATATAATTTCAACACAACTGAGTAGCCACAACAGAGGGTTCAGTTCCAAAATGCAGCTTGTGCTAATTCGGTATTCACTACAGCAGCTGAATTGTAGAGAGATGTTTTTGCTGTTCTTTAAAAAAACAATTGTATTATCTTATTGTATTACAATTTGATAGAGCTAATAAGACTCACACGGAGAGGCTGAATTCATGCAATGCAAAAGCATCTCTCCAGTCTGAAGAACATCTGCCGTGAGGGGCTTATGAGCCTGAACTTCTTCCTGAAAACTCTGAAAAATATCATGTGATGCAGTTATGTACTTTTTGAATGAACTTCTTTTGGAATTTCTTATTGCTATATAAGATGCATATACACTCCCGTTCAAAAGTTTGAGGTCAGTAAGCCTTTTCTGCTTACCGACAGAAAAAGCTAGTCCCTTTACTAGTCTTAACTGAAAGCAACTTGCACTGACATATCTTCAAATGTGTTAGTGCCATTGTTTTGTCTCAAGATGCACACCAGTAATGTTTTTTCTTCTTGCGTACGTTTATAAAAGCTACTTAAACGCCCTAATATTGAACTAAGACCTAATCCTGACTTAATCTAAACCCTGTCTGCGAAACCAGGCCATTATGTATTTTAAATAAGTTTTTTTTTTTAACCTATCCCAAACTTTTGAATGGTAGTGTAGTTTACAAACCTTGTAGTCGGCCAAGGAGGCTTTGACGCTCTCCAATTCAACCATGGGAGGAGATAGAAAATCTACTTTCTCTACCACCTTGTGTAGCCACTGAATTAGCTTTTCTAGGTTTGAGCAAAATACCTGTTGAGAAAGGATGTAACAGTTCTCATAAATTCTCAGCCATCTCAGAACTTTGCTATTAGAAGAGAAAAGTCAACTCGCCTGTATGTGCTGCATTAGTGACTCCTGGGTCTCATATTCATCCTGGTCTGTTTGTATTGTCCTCTGAAGCTCTGACATTGACAATCCACTCAGCTGATCCATAATAGCTTCCACCTCCCTCAGGTTCCTTCTATTCACGTCTCGACTTATCATCTGGATTCTGGCAGCAGGATCCTTTGCTTTCTCTAAATGAACCTCAGGTGTAAGAGGAACTTCAGAACCAGATCCCCTTCTCGCTTCAATGTCTTCATCGCCGCTTTCTTCCATCAACGGTTCATGCTTTCCCACTTGGACCTTTGGTGATCTCTCTGAGGTAATGTCGCTCTCCAGGGATTCCCAGCTGGTGATGACCGGTTGGCTTATCTGGTCACTAATGTCCCTCAGTTGCTGTGAAAGCACCTGAAGTTCCTGTAGATGTTCTGGTAGGCGAAGGAACTCTTCGTCTAACTCGTCTTGCGAATTAGGACGAGTAAGGACGTGTGTTGAACTAATGAAAGTGGGGGCAGATCTGAAGGTTGAGAAGATGCCAAATTTACGGTAATGACCCTCTGGCTTCCCGTCGCAGTCAAGACTCTCAATTGACAAGCCAGTTTGGTCTAGTGAGGAGTACAGGCTACTGGACATAATACCATCTGAGGACTTTGAGTGTGATTTGTTTAGAGCAGGAAACTCAGTTGACTTTCGACCTGTTCCTGGACTAAAGCATCTCTGCCGAGTCCCTGTATGGGATAGGTCCAAACAGGACAGGGTGGAAGAGCTGCACAAGCGGTCCAACTCAATGCCTGAGTCTTGCAACAACGGATAATTTTGTGAGAGGAGATCTCCATCTGGTGAACCCCATGTGCCTTTGATGTTGGGTCTCAGAGGGTATGTGTAGTCCAGGAGTGCCTGGTATTCCTTTTCAGGATCCCAGCTGGGGGAATTGCGGTTTGGGGAGGGTGGCATGGAGTTGGGGATGGCACAGGCCCAATAGTTGGCCTGATGAGGAGACATGTGTTCGAACCCACGTTGATGGTTCTTACTATAAAACTCAGAAGATCCTGTGTTGAGAAGAGAATCTCTTCCTGTATCCGTCATCTCACTTGTGTTTTTTACCTTTCTCGTGAAACAAGACATATGATTGGACAAGTGAGAGGTGCTTCTAGGAGTGGACATCCACTTAGGCACTGGGGGTTCTGTAAGGCTCAAAGAAGCTGAAAGGGGACTGGACAGACTGCGTTTGGTAGCTGAAGAGGTAAAAATAGGATCCTCGTCACATGACCCTAGTCTAAGGTCCGATAGATTCATGGAAGTATCCAGGTCTTCTCTGGATAATGCGGGGGAGGATTTATAATATGGAGAAGGAGAAGCTTGTGTGATCCTTTTGAATGACTCTTTGGCCAGACTTTTGTCCTTTTCTTTAGAGGAATCTGCTTTGTAATTGATCTGAGGAGGGGAAAAAAGGAAATAATAGGAAATCCATAGATGCAGACTAAAACATAACCAGAAAGTTATTGGCTCCTTTAGTTAAACAAACAATACCATTCAAACGTTTGGGGGTGGTAAGATTTTTTCATGTTTTTGAAAGAACTCTCTTGTGCTCACCGAGGCTACGTTTATTTTATTTAAAAAAATACAGTAAACAGTAATACTGTGAAATAGTATTGCAATTTAAAATAACTTTCTATGTATTATTAATATATTTACATAGCAGAATTTTCAGCATCATTACTCCAGTCTTCAGCATCACATAATCTTCAGAAATAATTCTAATATGATGATTTGCTGCTAATTAAACATTTCTTATTATCACACTCTTAACATTTGGACTCACACAAAGCTTTCCAAACTAATTTGAAAAATATTGTCGTTTCATTTCCAAAAATTTTAGTTGCAGTTTGGAGCCCTATATAAGACAAGCATTTCAAAGTTCAGAAAAATAAAGCAATATAATCCTCTTTTATTGTTTCAGTAAGTAAATAGTGGTAGCAAATAGTTCCTGGTTCAACATGAACTGTGTCATTAGATTCTTACCATCTCTGAGTCTTCATATGTGGATGAGTTCTTCAGGATGGGAATCTGGCATTGTGCGGAGGTCAGTGGTTTTCTCATGGTATAGAGGCTTCTGTCTGTCATATACCTGGAAACAGGTGCCATTGTGACTGTCTTTTTGCAGCCACTCCTCTCTGTGTCTGAGTCTTTGGTCCCCAGGACATTTGCAGGCCTTGTCCTCTCAATTACCCTTTGACTGAGGGGTTTAGAGTGACCTCTGCGAAAGAACTCTGGGGTCCTAGTCTTCCAACACCCATAGCTCTTGCTCTCCATCTGTGAAGAGGTGTCTGATAAAGCCTTGTCAACTCCGAGAGCCATTACACCACTTCTAGATTTTGTAGTTCCTCATTTGTCGAGAGCGACAGCTAAAAGGTCATAACCACACTGTGTTTTAAACACTGCAAAACAAAGGCTTGAATGATCACAGAAGGAGGCTCTGTAATGTGTGTAGTCTAACATGATGCATGATGCTCATTTACTGTACTGTAATAGGTCATTATACATGTTCAGGCTTGCCTTAAATTCAAGAATGCTCGGCCATGATGAATGCTCAATTTTGTTGTTAAAGTGCCCCTATTATGCTATTTTAAAGTTTCCTAATGTTGTTTTGGAGTCTCATACAACAGAAAACTATTTAATTTTCTCACAATATTTATTTGCACATCACCACATTTACTGAGGCTTCCTTCCTACACTGTAAACTAAACACAGTAACGTACAATAACGTTGATTTTATCATATCAATCCAAGTACGAGTCTGAATATAAAATACTGGAAGAACAATTCATTCAACCCTAACCTCCATCACACGGACAACTCGAGAAGGAAGTTTCTCAGTGATACACTACTCAGTTTGAGGTACATTATGAGATGTTGCAACTGTAATTCCTAACCATCAGCATTAACAAGTGCATGTTCATTAATAAACTGAGTATTTTACTTGTAGGTCTACTAATTTATTTACAGAGTATTTTTCTAATTTATTGTAGTGAACATGTGGAAACTGTATCAATAACAGTGCATATATTAGTCGAGCTCTAATATGAAAGACTGATGTAACACAAACGTTGGTAAAACAAATCTTGATCCATGCTTAATCTTTCCTTTAAGTAGTGAGAACGACATTAATAGACAGTTTTAGGTAATAGTGGCCCACAACTGATTAGCAGAAGTATTTCGGTAAGACAGTAATAATGTGAGTTAACTAGTTAGCAGAAGACCAACACAATATAAAACTCAAGCATTTTGAACTCCATCTTTCAAGAGCAAGTGATTTGCGAATCTGCTGCATTGAACTCCGAGATATGAGAAGAAGTCAGTAAAATAAAGGGAATACAGCAAAAGTTTAGGACTATACTCCTGGTCTCGGTAGAGATTCATTTGAACCACTGATTCTTCACATGCTCATTGGGCAGTGTAAAAAAAACTGCCTTTAGCTTCACATTGTAGAGCACAGCATCTTCTCGACATGATGCTATCCAGTGTCCAAAGGAATCAGCTGCCGGTTTGAGGGGGTTCAAGTTTTCCCTGCTGTCTGTGCACGCAATAAGTGGGTGGGCAATATGCTAACGTGCAGAGACAACAACCTGTTGCTGAATATCAGCAAGACCAAAGAATTTGTTGTCGATTTACGGAGACGCCACACTCAGCACCTACCACTGACCATCAATCAACGGGGCTGTTCTAGAGAGAGTGAGTACCAAATTTTTGTAGCCAAATAAAGTTGACCTTGGGACCTTATGTTTCGTCTTGACGTCACAACGAAACGTTTGAAAAACTATTAATTTCGTTGACCAAGAGTCGACTCTTACTTTCGAAAGCCAATAACTTTATATGTAGTGCACTTTCAGATTTAAAACTTCGCAGGATGTTTTCATTCACTTTAGAGCTGTTACACACTACATGAAAGCCAGGTCATTTTCAAAAATCCATAAAAGGGGCACTTTAAAAGAAAAAAAAACCCCAAATGATTAGCTAATCAAATAATACTCTACACTGACAAAAATATAGTTGTATGAATATGTGTCAGATGAACTCTGGTAAACGAAACTGTGCAGACAAAGCAGTTTCTTGTATTTCTCTGTGGAATAATAGGCAGGCATTGTTTTTTGATTGGCTGATGCTTCTGGTTTCCATGGCGACCATCAGAAAACGGCATGTCATGAGAGGTGATCACGTGAGTACATTTAAATCGTAGCCTGCTTGCAATGCAAACAAAGACAATCATGTGTCTTCACCACAGAACCCTCATGGACATTTACTTTTAATATAATACTTGTTGGTATTATAATACGCGGCTAGTCGGTTCGCATAATTACTGACATCAATATGTTTTTGTGGACATAAAAAGCCAGCAAGATCCTGTGAGCTACAATGATACTATTTCAAATAAAGCAGTTTGGAATCCTATAGACAAGTTTCCTGAGTGAAATAGGCGGGCCGCCATTAGCCCCTCACTCTGCCAACGACTTCCGGTTGTATCTGCCAAGCACTTCCGCTTAGCGAGTTAGCGTCTTGTTTTTTTTGGTTAGCGTGCAGAAAAAGTAAACTATGGATGGTGTTACACGTCGACACGGCTTTGGGACATATTGTGCTGTTCGTGGTTGTAACAACTCGTGGCGATTGCTGAATGTTTGGTCGGAAGGAGAATGAATCAACCATACAAGACGCCAATGTGGATGTGCTCCCCCGTATACGTTGTATGAGAAACCAAAAACAAATGTTTAATCATTATCTCGGAAGTGGCTAGCGGCTTTGAAGGTGAAGAATCCGCTCAAAAGACTGTTTGTTTGTTCTTATCACTTCATTGGTTCTTTAGTTGGGATATACGAGCAAACCTCCCCAGCAAAACAGAACAGAAACACAAGTGACACGCAATCGGATGGTAAGTGTATCTTGATATTTTATGGTTAGCAAAAGTTTGCAGCATAAGTTCGACTGTTGATATGTGTCTCTGTCCTGTGTCAGTGGGGTATATACGTGACATTTATAGTTTATGCTGTTTGTCTTTTAGAAGTGTGCATCGAGCCGAAGTTTAAAGATGCTGCAACACAATGGGAGGACCTAACAAAAACTGACCACAGCTATGCGGCAAAGTTGGACCATATGAACAAATCGACGCAGGCTCTGGGTCAGACTGTGGCTGATATGCTCCTGGATGATGATGCCTCACGGCTGTACACAGGACTGCGTCTATAATATTTTTTTACTTTAGTGAAAACGATGTTGCCATTCGTTTTCGCAACAAGTATTCCTGTTCCCATAGTGAAACTGAACCTTGTAGGGGATGTGGCAAAGCACTTTAAAGTGTCTAAAGGTGTAGCAAGTAAGGTGATTGCTCACTTTAAATGTATTGTTATTGTACCCTTTCTGGTGTTATGATTATTGATAAGCCAAAACAGAGTTTTAACTAAGAAAAACGTGTGTGAGTGCTATTCTTTTTCTTGCATTGTAAATATTGACACATGACAATAAACAATTTGTTTTTTGAGAAGAAATAAATTAATTTTTATTAATCCTTTTCCATAACAAATGGACAATTTGAGTAGATTATTTCTGCTGTGTCTTCGGATAGACACATCTCTGATTTTTTTGCTGCCCAGTATTGCTTTTTGTCCCGGCATTCAGCAATTCTGCACATCAGTCTTCCCTTGACAGCATTTTCTACCTGCAGACAGATAAAATAAAATGGTTTTCAAATAATGGTTAATGGTTTTTAAAATAATGGGTTGAGCATCACAGCACAATTGACTTCTTTTAGAAACAACATTTTGTAAATCAAAATAACAAGGGTATGATGAAGGTAGAGCGTTTTTGTTACTTTTCAAATCAATTAATGATCTGGGCCTGCAGCCATCAACATCAATGTTTTACAAATGTTTAACATCAATTGTATGTTTAATACAATTAAATATTAAATAAATAGATAACATTTAATAAAGTGATAAGTGAGTAATATAAAAATGAGTAAAAGCAAATAATATAGATAATAAAATAAATCAGTTTGATAAAAATAAATAAAATAAACAAAAGCCAGAAAGGGTTTGTTGCAAATTTGCCCATTTCATAGGCGGATTACACAGTTTTCTTTTTTTTTTTTTTGTTGGTCTGTTTAAAAGAATCGTTCCTAGTGTTTGTTTTATTTTGGTTTGTGATTGGTTCACACACCAACCGCATTATATATCATTACATAGGCTGAAGTAACATTTCTCTGTTTTGCGGTAAAATGCTATAAATTTGCAATCAAATATCATTCGCGGAAGTCAACACAGTCTACTCATTATTACGCATATGAATGTCAGCTTTTTCATAAAAAAAAAGTAAGTTAATACCTTTATGCATTCTGAAGCTATTAATAGATATGTAAGGGGTGCGCGATCTAGAGCGTCAGTCGACTTAAGGGTTAAAGCATGCTTTTCGTGCAGGCAGGCTAGAGGATAACTTTTTACTCTTCGTGTTCTGTTATAGATAAACACACTGATACATACAAACATCTTAATACAAGCATATAATGGGCTAACGTACCTTCCAAAGCACAACGGCTGCATGGGTACAGGAACGTCCAGATCCGGCGAATCGGCGATACAGGTACACATCTCCCGTCTTGGTAACCAAAACCCAGGCGTTAGGCGCTGAATTGTTAACGGACTGGCTTGATTGAACATCGGCCTTTAGGTAAATTAAACTGTCCAAGTGTAAAAGTACACAGCCCACTTTGACGGAATGGAGGTACTGAAACGCCTCTGAGCCGTTCAGGTTATTAAATGCATTCCCGTCCACCGCCATGGAATCAATAAAATAAGAAAAGATCTTAGATGTTGTGATGCTGGGCCATATCGACATGTTGTCCGCCCATAATGTTACCTTACTCGGATTCGGAATGGTCAAAACACCATTTTTAAACAAGATTTTCGGTCGAATGTTGCCATTCCAAAGCCGTGTTTACACCACTACTCAGCCTGCGCCGGATGTTCTTGGCAGAAACAGGAAGTAAACCGGAAGTGCCCGGGAAACTTGTCTATAAAGTCATAAGAGACTTGATTGGCAGTTACCATAGCAACCTAGTCATCAAACAAATGCCTACTATATATATATATATATATAATTAGATATATAGTATTATACTATAAGAACCCGAAGAAAAAAGCTTTTAAATCGATTCAAATATATAACACACAATTTATCTACTTGTTTTGTAAGCCACAATCTTCAACCAGTAACGTTACCTATTTGAATAGAATAAAGTAACGTTACACATCGATAACTGAATGATCAAATGTATTTGGGTATCAGTCACAAACAAACAGCAGCAAGAAACAAAGTGACCTATGTTATGCCATTATGTATCAGCCACAAATATTTATCTATCATACAGCGGTTTCACAGCTAACGTTACGTCGACATCGCTTTCACTTGGCTTTCATGGCTAAAACACCCAGCGTAATTGATCTTAAACTGTGATTACGTACCGTTTTAGGCTATGGAAAGTCCATCGACAGCTCGATAAACTACGTGCATGTGGCTAGCGCTATATTACGGTAAATAAAACGCCGCTGTACAGGAATCCAAGCAGTTAAAGGAAACGGTTCATAACACAGAGGCGGGTCAACTGTTTCCTCTCAAAACGAGGGAGATCTGCACGAGACAAAATTCAAGTTACTTATTAATGCGCATGTGCATGTGCATGACAATGTGGCGTAAAATACTAGTCATTGTGGAGAGACCACTGTCTGAGACAATATGATGTTTATTAAAGTGTTTTTGTTGTTGTTGTCATTATTCTGGTATGAATGTTGTCAAGCCCACTGCTGAAATAAATAACGCCTTGTCACGCCATACATGTTACTTTTCTTGGCGCTGGTCAGAACCAACCAATCACAGTAGTTTGTGATTATTTAATTATACGATTTAAAAAATATTTTATAGTCGTTGTGTTTGGATTCGGTTTGATTATTAGGTACAAGTCCTTGCAATTAAATGTTAATTACAGTTACATTATTACTATCGACAAATAATTATCCGTCACACGCAGGAAAATGTGCATGTAAATCAGAGACACATACTTTGGATTTAATTGTAAGCAGACACACCGGTAACAAGATAACTAAGAGTTAAAATACAGTGGAAAAACGTACATGTAGGTAATGCATATAAAACACACTAATACAGTAAATGGATTTTAGAGTTCGTCAAACATCTGTAACAGATTACGAAAAAAAGTCACAAGTTCTTTGTTTATAATCCCACTTACCACTAGATGTCACTAGATACCATGGGTGATGTTCTTGGGTAAAAAAAAATTTATGTAGAGAACGAAGGTCTATCTGGAAATGTTTGATCATACAGTGTTTCATCATCAGGCTGAATATCACATGTGACCCAGGGTTTTGTCTCTATCTCTGAGCTTGGCGTTAAATCACTTAAATCAGATTTGAATGTACTGAAACCAACCATAACCTACAAGCTCTAAAATCAGCTAGAAATCACAGGAGTAAGCTACTTCACAATCACACATGCAGTTTTGATATAGGCTACCGGTAGTCCCCAATAAATCACCAGACTATACCAGGATTTGCCAGTAGGGACACAAATATTTACAGAAAATACTTTCCGGTGAATCTTTGAAATAGTTAATATTTTAACACACAGTCAGTCAAAATATAGAAAACAAACAGAGCCAGAGGTCTGTGAATGATTTCCATTACTACCCATCTCTGCTTACAGAATGGAAATATTCCCTTTTTGATTTAGCATATAATCTGGGACACACAATCTTCTCAAACACAATCTTATTATAAAAAATAATTTTGGCACAGTTGGATAAGATTATCATAACAAAAACCAGTCCAAACTATATGTAAAACAGCAAACTGACCATTAGTGTTCCTTTCACAGGAATGAGCTTGACGTTTGACGTAAACTTCACACTCATCATGTAGTGGTTTTTAAAGAGAGAAAAGTGTGAAGAAAGAGATGGGAGATCACAGTCAACACATTACAGTACAGACTCCAGACCGTCCTTTTCATTTAGTGTTTCATGTGAGGAGCTTTCTCCTTGGTTCTGGTGTGTGACGAGAGGGGAGGTTTCTTCTTCTGCCTTGACATTAGGCACTACTTCCACCTTCACCTCTTGCAGTTCCTGCTCCTCTTGAGGCTGCTGCTGTTGTTTCTTCATCTCCCGCTCATTGATATGGTGAAGTATTCCAGCACCGAGGGCATCCCCCTCCACGTTCACAACTGTGGTGGTCCGGTCGCTGATCACACATCAGACACAGAGTTTGTTAACTCAAGGGCTAGAAAATCCTAATTCTGTTCTTTTCTAATTCCTAATTCTATATGCCTTCATCTAGCTCAAGTAGAGCATGGTGCTATAGCGATGCTAAGGTCAAATTGCATCAAATTGCATTGGATAAAAGAAATGTTTTGCATTTTCATTGAAATTTTTACATTGTGTCCTTATGTTTGAAACTGTATGTATTTATTGTATGCATATACAGAATATTAGTTTCTTATTATAGAAGTATAACTTTTCTAATTCTCATAAGAAGTCTTAAAAGACCCGTAAGAACAAAAAATGTAAAGCTATCAGGTTTCATGATGTGTGTATATTAAGACCTGGCTTTATATATATATATATATATATATATATATATATATATATATATATATTGTAAATAGATACACTCTTATAGCTTAAGGCTGCATTTATTAGATAAAAAATAGAAATAATGTGAAATATTATAATTTAGAATAACTGTTTTGTATTTAAATCATTTTAAAATGTAAAATGAATATATATCTGCTCAAGAAACATTTCTTATCATGATTCATGTTGAAAAAGGTTGCTTTGCTTAATATTTTTGTGGAAACCATTTTGGAAAGCATTTATTTGAAATATAAATTATTTACTGTCACTTTTATCAATGTAATGCTTCTTTTATTTAAAAAAATCTTACTGAAGCATTATTAATAAGAAAAATACATTTAAATAGTATAAAAAAAGTAAAAACATTCAATGCAATTGATTATATTCCCTTTCCGAATGTGCACTTGTCACTGATATGGCATCTCAAAATTACAACACTCAGCAAATACATGATATATGAGTTTAATTGTAACTAATCAGTGTATTAAGTACAATATTGATATCATGTATTAATTTCATGGTTGAGACCAATGTTTTTGAATGAGTAAAATGGGAATAGTTGTCTGACTTACACAATCCAGTCCACAGCCAGCATGAGTGACAGGTCATGGGTGGGCAGACCAATGGCCTCCAAAATGATAGCGATGGTGATGATCCCACCCGCTGGAATACCTGCTGCTCCCACGCTGGAAGCGGTGGCTGTCACCCTGCACACGTGAAAAAGCAAAAGTGCATTCATTTATCAGACAGTGACCAATGGTACACTTACTACAGGGACAAATTCTAACTAACCCACTGATGTCACATGGACTACTTTTATGATGTCTTTATTTCCTTTCTGGACAATGACAGTATACTGTACACATTTTCAATGGAGGGACAGAAAACTCTCGGACTAAATCTAAAATATCTTATACTGTGTTCTGAAGATGTCTTACGGGCTTGGAACGACATGAGGGTGAGTCATTATAAGACTAAAAGTTCATTAAAAGTTATCAACATTCATCCTTCCATCAGAGCTTCAGTTCTGTATCACCCATTACTGCATAACCCGTCACACTGGGACAGGCTGCAGAAAGTGGGTGTGCGTTGCTTTTAAATTTAGATATATTAAATTTAGAAGCTTAGCATCTCTGCCTTATACAGTAGATATAGGAATGTTCACAGTATCTATGAATACTCCTGCTGATTGAAGAAAGACCTCATAGGGATGTACTCTCACAGGATTGTGAAGATCTGGCCGGCGTTGAGTTCAACGTTGTTGAGCTGGGCAATAAACACAGCAGCAACGCACTGGAAAATGGCTGCTCCGTCCATGTTGACAGTGGCTCCAATCGGTAAAATAAACCGACTGATTCGTTTGTCAACACCGTTGTTCTCCTCTACACATTTCATCATGGTGGGTAGGGTTGCTGAGCTGCACAGGCACAGAAAATAGTCAAGGTTTGAGTATCTAATGGCAAAATAGATGTAATAATGGTCATAGCCATTCTATTGCTGGGAAAAAGGGTATATAACCAACTTTTACTAACATCAGGACCATTACATAATGACTTTGAATCAGTGTTATTTTAGTAGTACTTATGTACTATTATAGTATTTATTGCTCTGAATTAGCTTTATTTTATTTTAGTTTTTAGTCATTTTGATATAGGCTTTTGATTTATTACTTCAACGTATTTATTTCAAGTAGTTGCAAACATTTCTACATTTTTTAAAGTTTACGTTTTTCATGTAATATTTACATTTAACTTTATTTCAACTTTATTTCAGTTAACATAATCATTTTGCATTAGTTTTAGTTAACAATAACAACCCTGCTTTGGATTGGTCTGAGGACTGAGACTGCAAATGAACCATCAAATTATGGAAAAGAACATTCCAGAATTTATTCCTTTGCCAACATATCAAGGTTTTTGTATTTCCACTAAAAGAAAACAAAGCTTTTTAGTCACATTCTGGGAAACGAATTAACCCAAACATTAAAACTGCATTATTGGCTGTATTAAACTTTTTTTTTTTTTTTTGCTTATAGAAAAAAGAATGTAGGTTAGCTCAACTAAATCTGTTTTTAGGACTACAAATGAAATAGAACAAATTACCTGGAGCAGGTAGCAAAGGCTGTGGTGAAAGGTGTGATAAGGCCTGACAGGAAACTGAAGGGGTTTTCACGAGTGAACCCAAAGTAGATAAGAGGTAAGACAATGCCACCATGGATGACATGCCCCAGGATAGAAGCAAAAATGTACTTCCCCAAACTAGTGACCAACAGAACCACATCTTCCATTTCCACAATCTTACTGCCAACCAAGAACATGATGCCAAATGGCACATACCTGAAGGATAAAAAAAACAAAATGTATCAGACATCATGTGCATAATGCAACTTATATAAAAAGTTTCGCATTAGAATATAAGTATATTTTTTTCCTCATGTCCCTATTATATATCATGGGGACAAAATATGTAATACATTATATTGTATTACATTAAGGCATTTGATCAAAGACATTTACTTACCACATGATCCATGACACCAATACCATAGTGGCTTCATTAAAGGCATTGAAAAAGCGAATGAGCTCTTCTCCCTCTGTACCAAGCTTTCTCAAAGCAACTCCAAAAACCATAGCAAAGAGAACAAGGCCCAGAATATTCATTCCATCTGCATCTGTTCCATAGGGAACCTGAAACCCACCAAAACATGTTTGTCATTGTTATAAAGTGGCTTACATAAGTACACATTTAACTATTAGGATATTGCCGCTCAGCCTTTTCAATGTTTTCTTGGCAGCATACAGTTGACAGAATTGGTTAAAGGTGAAAAAATGCAACAGCAAAACAAATCTGATTCTAACATTATTTTAAGCAATAAAATGTGACGTATTAATGTGCTTTGATAAATGCTGAATTTAAGTTACCTATTTGAACTTATTGCTCACTCACTGATGCAATGTCACTGAACTTGATATGACTGTTGTTCATGGACAAGTGACTTTCAAAAGCCAAAAACGTCATGAAGCTTGGCTGTCAGACAGACTTTTCCTCAGCGTTTATGGCTGTGGGGTCACAGGTGATGAAGATCTGACGGGACTGAGCTACTGTTCAACAGAATCCCTCTCTTGTTCTGGGATTTATCACACATTCAGGCATGGCTCATCACTTGGCACACAGCACTGGTTGTTCTGTAAGCCCTACTTAAGCAATTATGGACCTCAAGCGTTCTGAGGGATTGCCCACAAATTTACCCATGCACCAACAGATACGAGACATTTTAGCTGAGCCAGGATGTAATGAAGACCCAAAGATTTATACAAAGGCTAATCACATATGGCACTAAATAGAGTAGTTCATTTCCATCTGTGAATTTTTATTTGCCTTTTGCTCTGAATTTGAAGATAATACTGATGGAATAGATTTAAACATTAAAGTGTCTTAAATCAATCAAATTAGGTAAAATTCACAGTGAACAAATATACAACCCAGCCAGCAATAGTTGTCAATTCACCGTCTAGGTTAACTATAGACCCAATATAGTCTGACTATAAGTACCCCACTTCTAGTAAAAATAACCTTGAATTTGAATCAAAATTTTACCGGTCCAATCAGTGAACAGAGGGAGTGGCTGAGAACGATGATGTTGAGGTGCGCTAGTTTGAGTTGTGACGTATGTCCAAACGTTAGCGACTGGTTATGGTAGACTGGGCAGATCTAATAGTTTTAAACTACAACAGAGCTTTTCCCTTTCTTTCCCAAAGAGTTGTGACCCTTACACGTTTTGTCTATCATGATAATCTTTACAAGTTAATCCAAAATGTATACATTTTGAAGCCTATATAAACATTTAAAAAAACACAAGCAGACACAATAAAGTTTAAAAAACCACAAGCAGGTTAATAACTGGTGTGTTTTATGTCATTGATCAAAATGTGAAAATATTTAGAGGCTTTGTTAACCACAGGCCTTATTTCATGCGATTTAGCAAAAACCCATTCAAAAAACCATAGACTTTAGCGCCTACAAAGTGACATCGTAACTTCGGCACTCTATTAGACGTCTTTTAAAAGCACAATTGCTTAAAAAATAGGGCTATACTGTATGTCTTGGGCTAGACATATAAACTTTGTGAATGAAGGTCATTTATTTGAGGCTGACTGTACTACTATAAGGACAAATATTCATTAGATAATTATTTGAAATGTGAATATCATCCTGAGTCCTTCTACAAGCACATTGCTGCGATTAGAATGCAGACGCATGGGAGGCCCTCTGGGAAAGGCTAGCCATCTCCAGCTGCTCGAGTGCTCAGTAGGACAGGGGCAGCAAAACCGGCTGCGTCCACCATGGCCCTGTGCAAACAGCAAGCTAATTCAAGGCTGCCAAAGACCCATACACTAGTGGTCTGAGACAAACCAGCAAAGAAGCCCTAACTGGACTTGAGTTTTTGTTTTTAAATGCAAAATTACAGGGTTAAATTGACATGTCAGCAAGTGAAATGTGTTGATGTTATGCTTAATAAAGGAAAAGGAAGGACCTAATGCTATTAATAATTACATTATATTAAAGAACATTAATGTTAATAATGTTATAATTATTAAATGGATCATTATCGTAACATAAAAATGTATCATTTTTAAATAAAATTATTATTAGAAAATATAAAGAGATCACGTACCTTCTGGTAAATGAGGGTTCCATTTGTTCCATTTCCAACAAGAACCATTTTGTAATCAGTGATATACTGTGACAAAAGTAAAAGACAACACAAGAAAACATTATGAGCTACATGCAGTGCTTATCAAAGAGCTATTCTGGCCGATTTCAACCCGTTCCGTGTGCGGCTTCATGAACTGGGATGCATTGGATTATTTCACTGCACTGAGTGTGTTTCTGTGCATGTCTAGTGCCAAAATACTCACAAAAGCAGCATTTAAAGTTTAGCTGAAGAGGACTTTGAGACTTGTACAAACAGAGACAATGAAAGTGATCCCCCCACAGTTCTCCTATTCAGAACCCCTGTCTCTCAAAAAATCCAATTCTATGAGCTAAGCCACTCAGTTTAGTTTCCGTCTACTTCCTACCTCAACAGTACGAAGGGAGTAGGTTAAAAAACGTGAGGTGGCAGTGGCACTGAACTATTGAATTAATGCAACTTCTTTTCAGCAATGTAAAAATGCAGTAAAATCTTAGGGGAGTGGTGTTAAAGTCACAATGACATTTTTTTTTAATGGAATGTTGCAGTATTTATTATAAATTATTTATCAGTGCACATTATTATTATTTTTTATTAATGTGCCTTCGTAATCTTTAATCAAAATAACTTCCCCTTCCTCTTGCAACAATATTTCTTGTTTACCAGTGTGCACTCTAATGAGATCCAATCCAATCATTTCCCCATTAACAAAATCAAGTCTCGCCCTAAATTTTTTCTCATTCGAGAAGGCTTTTTACCCGGATATATGCACAATAGGGAAGAAAAAAAACAATCACTACTTCCATTTCATGCCTTTTTGAAAAGTTTAGAATAGCATGGTGCTTTTCTCACAGATTGCATTTTTGCCTTTAAAAAAAATGTGAGACATTTTACTACTAAGGAATAGAAAAGAACACGGGATCTTAAAAGTTGAACTTAGTTTAAGTTAAGTTCAACTTCATCGTAAAAAAGCTAGATATTAGCGCAGTGTTGATAGATGTCCCAGATGCCATTACCCAGCCACACCCAGGTTGAGTCATCGTCGGTACGCCATGCGGGATGTGGGCCACAACTGGGCCAGATGTCATTTGCTATCTGGGTAGCTTATGTTTAAATAGAAACTCGCCTGTTAAAGGTTCACATATCCATAATGAGATGAATTTACACTGTGATTCTGATGTTGACTTACATTTGATGGCAAAATTTTTTCTATAAACATATTTCAGTTAAAGATAATTAAGGCAATCTGGAATAGATCTTCAAAAAATAGTTTGGACAAGTTCATATGTAACTAGCCATTCAAATAATTCCCAGGCATTTCTGTATAATCCTACTAATCCCTGTCTCATCTTCTTTAAAGCCTACATCTGGACTCCATCCAGGTAAGTGTTGATGGAAATCCCACTGGATAAAGAAACATTCTCCAAAAGAAACATCCCATTATTTTCACCTAATGACCCTGTTTCTCTTTCTAAAGCTACTCTGGCCTTTAGAAAAAACTTTTTTTTTTTTTTGCAAATGGATAACTGGGTACCCTGTTCAGTTTGTGTCAGTGAGGTCATGCACATGCTCCAGTCTGGGGACAGAGATGTTATCTCCCACCCAGTCCACAGAACCCCATGACCTTCCTTTGAGCAGAGTGTGCTCACTGTTAAGCAGCTGATGTGTGGTATAACTCAGTGAACTAAGCCAGGTTGCCAGGCACCAAGGATTGGAATCAGCCTTCTATGGTAACTGCCTGGTTGCTTAGTGGTGAGAAAGGATGGGAGCTATTTATTGAGAAGGGACAAAATGGTCACTCCATTTTGTGACTCTCTCAATTAGAGATGAAGGAGCTGTTAACAAGTGATCTACAAATATTCATTCAGGACATAACCGCGTGTGTGCGTGCGTGTGTGTGTATATAAAAAAGTAACTCACTGAGCGGAAAGCTGCAGCCACCAGGTTGGATGGAAACAGGTTTCTGAAAAGGAAAAACAAGCAAGAAAGATAAACCAGTGATGCAGACACGTGAAATGGGCTCTTATCATCACAGATGGACACCACTGGTGTTCCATTGCTAAATTCCCACCCGTTTGGATCGTGATGGACCTGTAAAGGAAGTTTTGCATTGATCTATGCAGATCAATTTCTTTATCTAAACAGATATTCAGTCACTCAGGCTACAGAATGGATTAGTTTTTAGTTCTTTTTCATCATATGACCTGAGTTAAAAGAGGATTAATCTAGTAACCCTGTGAACATTGAGGCAAAATGGAGTGTGTTTTCTCCAGGTTCATGCAAGCCTATTATACAGTCATTCTTCAAGTTCTGATTACATAATTGCATAGAAGATTTATACTTCAACAAGAGAAACTTTAAAGACTTTTTACTAAAAGATTTCAGGTTTCAAGATATGTGCACATTTGGTCCAAATAGGATGAAAAATAATGTTTGTGTATGTTCATTTAATAATGTATTTTTGTGATTAAATTTGATGTAATTTATTGTAAATTACTGATTAGTGGAAAAAGCATGACTATTATGTTAAGGTAATAGCAAACATGTTAGCTGGAATTTAGAAAAATGTAAATGTAATGTAAAATAAAAATTTCCTTTTATGAAAAATAAAATCGTCACACAATTATGTTCCTGCTGGAAAAACAAAATATTTGTTTGCCATTTTGTAGCTGATTTGATTTGTTACTGATCCATGGTGATCTCTCAACCCTACAGATCTACCAGGTCGATTGCGACCCCAGCTGGTAGTCCATCCATTTTGTCCATCAACTAGATCAACTTGGATGAATGAAGACCATATCCTGCAAAAAAAAAATCATGTAAAACCAGCATCAGAATGGTAACTCTTAGGCAGCCATAGCCTAATTTTGGTCTTATAGCACAGCAACAATTGGGCTAGCCAGGTTTATAGTATGACACATAATGGTCAAAATCAATCAGAAAAGTTTCAGAAAGTGTCACACATTGAGATATAAGAAATATGCCACTTAAAACAATTAAATCCATTAAGTTTAGAGTCAATGATTTGTCATTTTTAGAGGATCAGTTCAATTTGTTGATGGATTTACATATTGAAACGTGATGATGTCCATTATGAGTCAAATTACATTTTCAGAATGACAATGATCCTTATTTGTGACAGTTATTTATTGATTAGTAACATTTAATTATTTAATTTGTATAGGTTATAAACATTTAAACATTATAAACATTTTATATAACATTTTCTCATACTTTACTTGATGTCCCAATTGTGCTGAACTCCCTAAATGCTTTATGTCTAAAACATTCTCTTTTTGCCAGAAATGTGAGAATTTTTCCAGGTGTTTTTCCACCTCTTCTTTCCATGCCAGGAGCAATAATTAAATGCACAACAGTTGGTGACTTAAATAGCTTAAAAGAAAGAAAGAAAGAAAGAAAGAAAGAAAGAAAGAAAGAAAGAAAGAAAGAAAGAAAGAAAGAAAGAAAGAAAGAAAGAAAGAAAGAAAGAAAGAAAGAAAGAAAGAAAGAATTAGATTATTGTCACATGATCTACACGCATTCGAGTGTGTGTGTGTGTGAGTGGGACATACAGTATAGGCTACAGTACATCGTTAAACACCCTGCAGAAGCGGATTAGTTGCTGTCATAGGTCTGCTTTCTTTCACACGTTGAATTATATTTTTATCACCAATTTTTACTAAATGATAGGCTATCAGTAATTTTCATAACCAAAATGATAGCTACCTTGCCAGGTCTAAAAACGAATCCGCTGTCTCTTTGTTGGAGCTCAAGCCTTCCAGCCCCAAGTTGTTGCTGTTCAGCGCTCCGGCTCCCACGCCGGGTTTGATGATGAAGGCGAGCGCGACCCCGATGGATGAGGCGATCAGAGTGGTCACCAGAAAGTAAGACACGGCGATCCCGCCGAGCTTTCCCAGCGAGCGCGTGTCCAGACTCGCAGCACCAGAGATCAAACTGCAAACCACTAAAGGAAGGATGATCATCTTGAGCATCCTCAGCAGCATCTCCCCGGGGAAGGCGAAATAAGTCATCTGCGCGCGGGTGAGATTCATGTTCCGGACCATCATCCCGAGTCCTACGCCCACCAGAACCCCGGACACCGTCAGGATCACTAAGAGATTTCTTTTGAGGAAGCCTATTAACCTGTCTTTAAAGCTTTTATTTTCTGATTTAATTGAGACTGCTGGCAACAGGCTTTTGTGCCCGGCGTGCCCATTGCTTTCGCTCTTCTTCTCCTCCATGATTTTCTCTTCACGCTCAGTATTTCCGAGGTACCAACCAGGCTCTTTTCATCAGCGGCGTGCGCGCGAACGGAGCGGAGCGGAGTGGAGAGCGCTTGTAAAAACCGGCCGGCACTTATAGACATGTGCTAATCCACCAATGGCGAGGGTCCTTTCAAAGATAAAAGACTCAGGGCATGCGCACTTCTGGACCACGATGAAATGATGCAACAAGGCAAAGGGTTGCTGATATCTAAAACCAATCAATGAAATATTATCATTATTATTAGCATATTTTTTATTATTGGGTGATATGAGTGCTTTTTCCATTTTTTGTGCTAATAAATTGCAATAAGGCAAAGAGTTTCAGAATCAGTGTATTCATTTTATTGTTGTTGGTATTATTATTATTGTTGGGTTATTTCATATGCTGAAATATCTATCTATCTATCTATCTATCTATCTATCTATCTATCTATCTATCTATCTATCTATCTATCTATCTATCTATCTATCTATCTATCTATCTATCTATCTATCTATCTATCTATCTATCTATCTATCTATCTATTGTGTAAAGATTTTGCATTGATAATTTTCCCCAAATGAAAGAGCCTAAGATGTAAATTCGGTTTAGCTGTCTGCAATTCCTTTCCCCTGAACCTCAACTATTTTGTTCCAAAAATAACATTTCACAGCTGCCAAACCAGGAGCACAGGAAGCTGAGTTTGCTCTCCAGTCTTTGCTATAATATACTGAACCCCACTGTGAGGAGGCTTGGACAGAACAAGACTGTGAAGGTTTTACAGTAAGGTCCACTATGTCTTGTACACTGAAAATAATCTTCAAAAGTCGCTTGCATTAAAGGTATACTATTGTTAAAAGTATTGCGTGCAATACAACAAGAAAGAGGGTAAATAAACATCTGATTTGATGTAAAATCAGACCACATCTGTAGAACAATTGGATTAAAATTGACTTCCATCCCAAAATAACGCATATGTAATTTAGCAATGTTAAAAATAAACATACTTGGTAGCACTTTACAGTAAGGTTTCATCATTAGCATGCTTAACATGTATGTCTACAACATGTATTAATCTTGGTTAATGTTAATTTCAACATTAACTAAAATATTATGAAAAATGTTTGTGTGAACATTAATGCACAGGGAACTAACATGAAGAAACAATGAACAGCTGGATTTTATTAGCTAACATTAACAAAGATTAATAAAAATAGTAACACATTTAATTCTCATTGTTAGTTTAACAAATGAGACCTTATTGTAAAGTGTTCCCTGTACTTATACAGGTATATTTTATGTTCACAGTAATCTGTAGGCTACATTATAAGCAAGATTAGTTGACTTTAAGAAATATCTCCTAACTATAAAATTGTGGTTCAAAGCTGTATTTTGATTGTTAAAAAAAAACTAGACACATGTGAATAGACAGGCAACATAATATGCCATTATGTTTACGTAAGAGTGACGTTACTCCTCACGAGTGTAATAATATTCTCAAACCACCAGATGGCATTCTTTTGTTTAGCAAAGTTCTTTCTCTGTTTGAGTGATTGTTAACCATCAGGCACAACTGATCATTGCTGCTTATTATTATATATGCAAAGAATATTGTATGATACACAGAAAAAAAAGTTCTTCTTCACTTTTTTTATTCTAATAAAAGTAATTTTCATACCTGCATGGTGATTTATGAAGTGACTTAACTCAATGAGATTTATAACAGTACGTACCTATAGGCTACTATACTTATCATTAATAATCATCAGATAATGAGCATGTCATAATCATCAGATAATGGGCATGTCAGGGCAGCAAGCTTTACCCCGAAAACCTGAAATCAAATGTCCGACTCCCAAGATTAATGACTGTTTGCACTTATTCCATCAGACACGCTCCATCAACTGTGGCACACACACGTAGGTAGAATTTCTTGGCTCTTTGTCCCATTTAGTCAAACATTAGAAGTTAACACTCCATATTTTCCTTTACCGGTGAATTCACTGAAGATCAAGCATGTGAAAGAAAACACATCTTTCACCACTTTCCCTGCTTTTTTTATCCTTCATTTTAGATAGTGCATATTTTCCGCAGTGGCAGGCTTTTTTTGAACACTCCATTTCCTGTTATGCAGCAGAGATTGAACTTGTAACAAGAAAGATTGAGCCAAGCTGTTGGTGGGCATCTTGCCAGAGCATGCTGTCGCCTTTTCTTAGTCTCTGGGCCTTGAAGAACTCAACTCTGGCCATCTAAAGTCCGCTAGAAATGACCATTGACGCTTCAAGTAGCCGTATTGGAGCGACGCATATTATATATTTTAAATATACATTTAAAAGTCCAGATATTTTCCACATGCATAATTTGTCAGTATGACACGACTTTTAGACTGATTTATGAGCTCAGATTTTGCTCCGTCACTTTTTCATCGTGCTGTAAATACCACATTACTACTAGGCTCTGTAAATAACATGTCGAACAGCAGCCTCGTTCTGCGTTTTGATTGGTTGATTCTACCAGAGGGGGCGGGACATACAAACTGGGATTCCGCCTCGACTCACAGAACAACCTATCAATCAAATCCTGTCTCGCAACTGCGGCGTGCGGCCACGCGCAGAGTCACCGAAGGCAACCTGCCTACCACTACTTTTAGGAGCACTGTGAAGTCTGACTCTCGTATGTGCAACTGTTTACTTCTTTTTCTCAGGCTGATGAGGCACGGGACGCTTAAAAAGTGCCATGTGAATTCATGTCGACTAGCGATGCATGCAGAAAGCACTGAAATAATGTCAACGCGTTCGAGAATAAATCCGCTGAGCACCCACTAATTTACACTCATTTAACCGGAGAGTACAAGTCCTTCAGAAGGGTGAGTTGACGTTTCTATTGAATTATCAACATAAAGTCGTGTTTTGACTGGTCATTTTTTGTTTTGGTGTGGGTCGTTCCTGCAAGCGTGTATGACTTGCATCTACTGATCTAAGCAGCAGTAACGTTAACCTGTTTGTTTTGCACAGTGTAGGCTATCCTAAGTCTACAAACTTGGCATGGCATATATGTAAACACAACCTGCCACCTGTAGAAGCCCGTTCTCTGGATGCAAAATATTTAATGTTTTAAACAAGCGTGTTGATAGTTTTCTGTAATCGCCCCGTGTAAACTATGCATTTTTGTTTTGGTGTTGACTGTTTTCTAAAACCTTTGAGACATGCTGCTGCGTTGTTCGGTTATATAAGGTACAGTATCCTAATTACTTGGTGTTTTGTACAGTACTACAGCTAGATTTGTATTAACTAAAGATTAAATAGTTATCTATTTTTTATTTGGTTACCTGTGGCTCTGGCTTTCAGAGGGGGTTTTCTCTAGTAAATAAAGGGCTAAAAATAGAAATGTATAGTGCAAGCTGATGCAGTCTGTTGCATCTGCCAAAGCTAAAATATTTTTTTATGGAATGATTGTTGCGATAATAATCAACAGTTAATTGTGACCCATTAAGAAAGGCTTAAACACACAAAGAAGGTCAAAGGAAAGGGGGTTAGTATCTTTACAAGTATATCTGCAATTCAACAGTGTTTTCAAACAACTTTTCAGTTACTTCAAAAATGCACAACTTAAAGTGCAGGCACATTAGTGGGAAAAATAATGTCCATTGCCAGTATTGAAACAATTCATGAAGCACAATTCACACTAAGGTCACTTTTAAACCAAGCATTTTTCTGTTGGTCAATGTGGCAAATTCAAGGGATCAGCTTTTTCATCCTTATGTGAAACACATGATCGCATGAATTCAAAGGAAAATTTGGCTTGGTCAAAACACACCTGTATCATTTGCGGCTATACAATTACTGAATTAATGTTTTTGTTTTGTTTAAGTTGTGTTGAAACAAAAGTACAGATCATTTCTAATGACGGGACATCATTTCACTCATTGTTGGTTGTACTTTGAGATGTGAGCGGGGTTTAAACTGACTAAATCAGTGATTTCCAACACTGGTTCTGGAGTACCTCAATAAGTTCACATTTTAGATGTCTCTCTAATCTGACACAACCATTTGGGTTGTTTCTCAATTTGAATGCTGCATCCTAGTAATGCTTTATAATATCTATTCATCAAACAAAGTCCACTCTCACTAGGATGCAGACTTCTAATTGAAAAGTACTCTTCAGATTTTGAAGTAGCTCATCTACTTATGAGCTGATGAGTTAAATCAGGTTTGTTTGATTAGGGAGACATACAAAATGTGCAGAGTTTCGGGTACTCCAGAACCAGGGATGGGAACCACCGGACTAAATAGGCTTGTTTGAGATGACCTCGCCTGGAATTCAGATGTCACACTCTAAAAAATGCTGGGTTGTTTTAACCCAATTTTGGGTAAAATATGGACAAACCCAGCCATTGGGTTACATTTTTAAATTACATTTTTAACCCAATGGCTGGGTTTGTCCATATTTTACCCAAAATTGGGTTAAAACAACCCAGCATTTTTTAGAGTGCAGTAGGTGGGTGTATTGAGGGGAGGAGTAAAATAAGTGCAGACAAGTCTGACACTTCACTCTGTGTTGTGCATCAGACACCTTCGAGAGCAAGGCGGATATCTCATGATTCATGCTCATTCGCTGGGTTGCTAATAAATTTGATGTCATTTAAGTTTGACACTTGTGAAAATAAATGATGAACAAGACACCCATACTTGCGGTTACACTTTATCTGAAGCTGTCAGTGTTACTGTGTAATTATACATATTAAGTATTGAAAATAATAATTAATTATGTACTTATAGGATTAATTTTAAGATTAGGGTTTGGTTTAGTGGTAATTGCATATAATTATGTTATATTTTTTACTACAGTAACTATGTAATGTGTAACAAATAAAATAAAGTTTTAATAAAAAAATAAATAAATCTAAAATACATGTCTGTGTTGAATTTTTATTTTATTTAACACAGACATGTATTTTAGATTTATTTATTTTTTTATTAAAACTTTATTTTATTTTAGAAATATGACAACAATACATATCCCATAGACTTGAAAGTTTGGGAATATTCACACATTTTTTAAAATCAAACATTTTAGAAAAGGGACAATACACCATGGTTGTGTTTAAACCAATGAGCATAAAGCTGTGTCGTTAGAAAGTCATTTCCCATCAAGCTTTTGGACCACCTATATAACCAGCATTCATCTCGCGGTGATCACCGTTGAGTGGTTCTGCGCAGATTTTGCTTATCTCAATTCTCAAACAAGCTCTGTGATTGGAGAAGTCCTGCGTCATCAGAGAGAAGTCTGTCGTTTCACCAGAAGGTTATGATATTTTAATTAAAGATTACAAGGTCAACAATAAAATAAAACATATACTTTAATGATTCTTTCACAATATGATCAGTAGTTATTATGGAAGACGTACTGGTTTGTGTGTCCTGCCGGTCTGGAATCAAGTGTTTAAGCAAGAGTTTGGCAATTGCGGATTAGAGACACATCTAATTTAGTTGATAATCCAGATTAGGTTGTGTGCTTTTACAGTGCTTTGTTGGATCAGAGAGCTGAGAGTTCATACTCATCACCTCATTAGAGGTCATTTTTGACAAATTGATATGCTTTCCAGCACCTGTTATGGTTTAAAAACATTTATGTTTTCAAACCTTTAGTTTTTACGCAATATTTGATTTTAATGAGCGAGTTCACCGAAAATGACTATTATGTAATTATTTACTCGGCCTCATGCCGTTACAAACGCACATGACTTTTTCTGTAGAACATAAAAAAGACATTTTGACATTTTCCTATACAATAACAGTGGATAATGAATTGTTTTTAAAATGTAAAACGGACGAAAAAGCATCTTTCTCCGTTTAGTGCCACTCAGAAGTTAATTTGTTTGTAAAATACTATCAGTCACACTCATAATTAACCAAGCGCTGTTTTCAGAGCAGGATTAAGCAAGCCGAAGAGAGGTTACAACTGTATTTAGCTGCAGTGTGTAGTTTGGATAAAGGCAGTGTCCTGTGTAACCGAGCCTTATGGAGATAACTTTCACCAGTTAGGAGCAAGTGTAGCTTATACTTTCATTAAGCACTCTTCTTGACTGTAATCCCACTGTCTGTTTTGTATTCCTTTAACATGTGCTTAGGCCAAGCCTGAATCTAAGCTCCCCATGGAAGATTTAAAGGAGTAGTTAACTTTTAAAAAAAAAACTTTTGCTGATAATTTACTTACGCCCATGTCATCCAAGATGTCCAGCTCTTTCTTTCTTCAGTCGAAAAGAAATTAAGGTTTTTGATAAAAACATTCCAGGATTTTTCTCCAAATAATGGACTTCAATGGACTCCAACAGTTTCAAGGTCTTCAGTGCAGCTTCAAAGGGCTTTAACGACACCAGACGATGAATAAGGGTCTTATCTTGTAATGAGCATTCGTGACTCTCTTGTTCAACCATCAAAATGAACAAATCTTTTTTTGAGTCATGACTCGAAGGGTCCTATATAAGACCCTTATTCATCGTCTGGTGTCGTTAAAGCCTTTTGAAGCTGCACTGAAGCTCTCATTTGGACCTTGAACCGTTTGGTACCCAATGAAGTCCATTATATGGAGAAAATCCTGGAATGTTTTAATCAAAAACCTGAAGAAAGAAAGACGTGAACATCTTGGATGACATGGGGTTGAGTAAATTATCAGCAAAAGTTTTTTTTAAAAGTGAACTACTCCTTTAAATCCATAACATTGTCAAAAAACATTTTCTGCCAGTCTTCAATGTTTTAATGTGCTATAAATTATGAGTCCAGTGTTACTGAATTGCTCAAATGCATTTGCATTGAATTCTGTGTAAATGAACTGCCAGTGCCTGGGGCAGTGACCTGCTTTTCATTATAATGTGCAGGAAGCACATTCACTGTATTGAACTCTGAAGCGTCAGGCACACTGATGACCTGAGGATTTTGAATGCTAAACCTCTAGAGAGATGTCAGAATTCCCCTTAAGAGCTTTATAACATGTGGCCTGCATCTTGTTGTATTGCTGTATTGTATTGCTCTGTTATATATGTTTTCAACATAGTTTGAGCAGCACCAGATTTCTTTGTTATCCTGCAGTTCCCTTTGACAATAGTAAAGTTTAGTCCAGGTGTTTTGTGTATTTTGTGTTAATTTTCAAGAACAGTGTTTTGGATTGGCTATAAAAACATTAGAAGTAGACATTTTATGATACTTTAAAAACACCATTTATTGCACAAGTTATTTTCTAACTTCACTAGTTCTTTTGTGAAGAAATTTGTAACTACTTTTGAAATTTGCATTTTTGCTTTTCTGATTCAGTAAACTTGCTCGGTAGCTCACCTGACACAATTTCCAACCCAATCTCACGGCAATTTGTATATACAGTAGGCTACTTTACAAGGTGGCAAAATTCGTATGAATTCATACGATTTTTCAAAAAGTGTCAGCAGGAATGACCACCCCTAATCCTAAACCCTAAACCACACTGTAAAAAAATATTTTCATAATTTGTAATCACAACATTTTTTCTTTTGTCAAATCAACTTAGATAATTTATGTAGTTCTGATAACATAATAGTTTGAGTTTCTGATTATTAAATCAATCTCCTTCATTGTATTAACTCAATTTTTCCATTTTAATGAACTTAAAATTTTAAGGCAACCAGGTTACTTATTTTTTTAGGTTAAACCAACAATATTTTTTATACATTGCATGGGGTCTAGACAAATTGGACGAAGGAGGTCATACAAATTGCTTTTGTTAACATTATCGGTAGGTTTAGTATATATGATATCCAGCATCCAATATTAGACATGCACAAATTCACGTTAATCTGTTTCAGATAAATCTGAACACTCATTTAGCAGTAGCATC